CACAATATAAAATGTTTATACACTACATAATAATAACACAAGTAATGTCACAATATACTAAGTTTAACAACTGCTTAATTTTGTCACTTTAAAAAAATAATAAGTGTTTGCTTTAGGAAAAATAAGAAGACTACAAACACACAGGTTGTTTGTACATGTGTCTGATTCGGCATTTCTCCATATTCACTGGATGTGAGGCTAATATTTTGATCAAGCGATTATTTACAGTTGTTCTACTTTACTGTGGGTTTTACCAGTGGCCTCCCTATTTGACTGGGGTCTTTGGGCGCGGGCCTCGTGCGTTAATCCGGGCCCGCATCTAGTCATTTATATCAAAATTCCCACTTCAACCTGATGTTGTTTTTTTAATTATTATTATTACTTTCACTTTCAACCCTGAATTTAATGTTTTAATTCCTATTGTACGCCTTTGTATCATTTCTTCTGCACTCATCAGAACTTATTATTTTCTAGCTTCACTTGATATATTTTCCCCTGTTCATTCTTCACAAAACTTCTATTTTCAATATGTTATACTGACAATTATTGTACAAAGATTTAATAAAAATAATTATGTGATGACGACACCAGTGTTTCGTCATACACAATAATCAATTTCTATAAAATGAAAAGCAAAAAATAAAAACTAAAAAAAAAAACTACGTGTTTCGGTGGAGCATGTCGTCAACAAATTATTCTTTTCAAAATTATATTTTCCCCAACTCTACGTGATAATATTGTATCCATTTGTACTTTCACGCACACTTCAATTTTCTTTTTATCTAATCCTGCTCTCCATTACGGTACGTCACTGCTAAACCTGTTAGATCAACAATAACATATTTAACAACAACAATGATAAAATGTTTTGAAATAATGTATGTTTGTGTGTGACATTCATGATGTATTTTATGATGTTTCGCACCCTCTTAGTTTGGAATGCTACATTCATGATGTATTTTCCTTTCCTTCCAGGTGAAATCCGACAATGGCAGTAAATCTAACAGCATATCCTCATTTGTTAGGATCACCAACCAACACCCAAGTGGTTAAAACAGGCCTGGACAATGATGACCTAGTCAGTTGGAATGGAGTGTCCAGACTTATTCTTTTTTCGGCTATTGCAACTGGGGGCAGCATGGGGGGTATTTTTGTCATCAGCGCAGTAACCGTAATAGAGCCGTTACAAGTGCGAGGAAACATTTACTTGGTTAATTTGGCTCTTGCTAACTTATTGGTTACTGCCCTTGTGATGCCAGCTTCATGTGTCGCCATCTTAGCGTCCATTCCAAATGATCCTGGGATCTGTAATTTCCAGTGGCAGACTACAGTCCTCTGTTTTCTTGTAACCATTCATTCTTTTATGTTTATGGCTGTGGAGAGTTTTCTTGGACTGGGAAATACAGTAAACTATGAGCTCTGTTGTACAAAAAACAGAATTGTTTTTGTTTTGACCCTCATTTGGACGACATCCATTGGTTTCGTGGTGGCTCAAGAGATCACAGGCTTTGGACCATCTTTTTGTGACCCCTCTGCACCAGTATGGATGCCTTACCATGCTATTACTGGATCTCTCCTTGTCGTCTTACCTGTTCTGATCGCTGTTTGGTATTTCACTAGATCCATCTTTAAGCTAAAGAACTTCAAGCTTCAAGTAGAGATTCTGGAAGATCCAACAGCCTATGTTCTAACGGATGAGTACCTGTTGAAAAGCAACATCGTGGTCTTCACCTTGATGCTGGTGATGTGGATGCCATGTGTAATAGTGGCAACAATCAGCACCGTTCGTCCTGTAGCCCAGCACCTGTTGGACAGCTCATGGTGGGCAGCCCTCAGCAATTCTTGTATCTACAGCTATCTTTACGCAGCTACCAACCGAGACTTCCGGGAAGCCTTCAACAAACTCTTCTATTACTGCTGTTGCAAGAGTCACGTGAGCTTTTCTCGAAGACAGCGGCCTGATTCTAGACGTGTTGAGGGTGACAGTATAGGCCTTCGGGTGCACATCATTCCTGGTCTGAACATCTACGCGCAGAGGAAAGAGACGTCAAAGGACAACAGTCGGAATTACCAGTCTAAATGTGGAAAAGGTATTAGTGATTTGTGAAAGTTCTTTTACTTTTCAGCTATACTTTTCTCTAGCCATGATTTCAGGAAGCTGTTGTTTGTCGTTTTCTTGCATGTCGTAAACTGCACCATCAGACATTTGTGGACCAATCCTGAATGAGACCTGGAAGTGACCTTGTTGTAGCTGCTTGCGTAAAAGTATTGATATTTTGATTGACACAGAAATCTCTCTATCTATAATATATATATCTATATACGAACATATATACATATATATTTATACTGAACCTAGTTACAAACGACAGTAGTGTATTTGTGGGTGCAAAATGATATCAAAGACCATCTTGTGGTTCATTGTTTTTCATAGTTTAGCAATGGAAAAAATTGTAACCACAGCCAAGTATAATTTATTTGTTCAATTCACCTACAGAAACCTATTTCAGTTTTGCTAGATGGCACGTTTTGAACCCTTTTTCTTTCGATGGAGCCAAATATGGATGACCTTGTTGTTAGTTAAGTGTAAATCATTTTGGTATAAAGTATGGGCGAGGAAGGCTGTTTGATGTTTTGGTCGCAATACCTAATTACTTCAAGAGAGAGACTCGCCAGTTAACGACATGTTGAAATGATGGTATCATACATTAGCATGGCAGCATTTCAAAGTTCAATTATCGATCTTTACATTCGGTAGGATCTCTTGGCTAGGGCGCTCGTTATAATGTGACGGTCGATCCCACTATTCGTTTGGTAAATAGTAACCTAAAAAGTGGCGGTGGGTGCTACCAGTCAGTCACTTTCCTGCTGGTAAACGGCTCAAACTTGGGACGGCAGATTTACGTAAACGAACAAATCTTTACAATCGCTCTAGGTATGGCTCACTGTAGAACAGCTGTGAGTTTACGATGGTAAAAGCTGGGGCTCGGATGCCCGCGGTGGACACAGCAGATAGCCCAATGTGGCTTTGCTCAAAAACAAACAAACGCTATAAGTATAATTGTATACAAGTTTATTTTTCTCAATAACGGCTGAGCATAGGTCAAATAAATGCGAACTACTTCAAGAAAATAACATCAAATAACATAAGTTCAGAGATTTGATATATGAATAAATGACATTTTCTCCACCCCCTTTTCAATTATTTCCAAAAATAACAGCATCGTAGTTGCGTTGAATTGGAAGAAACTGCTAATCAACCAAGTTCATATGAATCCTTTTTAAGTGTTTTTTCTTTCTTTTTTTTTATAAATCCTAGTTTGATTATGCATAGTTACAAATAACAAATTCAAATTGGAACTGGAATTATTCTAAATGGCCAGGTCAGCCAGATACCCTTAGAATTTAGGTATAGCCGTCTCCTAGTTTTGAACTATTGACTAGAGGGGAAGGCAGCCGGCTAGCAACACCCACCAAAACACGGGTTTTATATGGTAATTTGAACCAAATAACGGGATTATTTGCCCACAACTTATAGTGCGGGGTATGTTTACTGGCATCACGTTTTGAATCCTCGATCTACATCCCGACGCGCTAACACGCTCGGCCAAATAACAAATGAGAATTACTAGATTATCTGAGCATTTCAAATTGATAACTAAAACACAAATGAAACCAACGTTTCAAACAAAAAAAAATCAGGCGACAGGAATCACTTCCACCTTCGCCCACAGTGGCTCAGCGGCAAGTCTGCAGGCTTACAACGCTAAAATTTGAGTTTCGATACCCCTGGTGGGCATAGTACAGATAGCCCATTCTGTTGCTTTGCGCTTAATAACTAACACTTCCGCCTTAGTAAAATAATATACTGTTGACCTTTTCAGTTTCGTTGTTAAGGTTTACCGACCTTCATTATGCATTGCTATTGTTACTCTATTTTTCTATCATACTTACCCTTACACTTATTATTTAAATCCATAGTCGTTAGGTTTTAACACGACCATTCTCTATAATCATCCAAATATCCGTCCTGAGTAAAAACATTTAAAATAACTATTGTTAATGCCATCTATTACTAGTTTTCTGAACTATTACACCAACTTGAACAATATATATATGTATATTTTTTTTTAACCGTTTGATGTCACTACTAATTGCCATTTTATTATAATATTTAAATAGTTTTCTTTTAACTAACTGAACTTACTCGACTAAAGTGGTATAATATCTGTGTAGGAATCTGGATAAAAACATAAATATTAGGGTTGAATTTCTGTTACAAATAATCACCGTTCCCTCATAGCATTGCTTGAGCTTTGTACTGATGTTGTTATGACAACCGTGAAAAGATGTTTTGCTGACGAGATAGCCTGTTATTTCTAATACGTTGCTCTGCCCATTTTCTCGGCTAAATTCGTCATGACAGCTTTCATCCTCTGAATGCATTCTTTTTAACTGTTACAGTCACGTTTTTGTAGATTGTGTGTTGTATTTTCGAACGAGGTGTTATCTATTGTCAATCGTTTATATATAATCTTACCTGTCCAGCGTTAAAAGACGTCAGCTTTGTCTTTACACTTACGATCAGAAGGAAATGCATTTTTGTAAATGCGTTAGGCAACTTTTCTCAACACTTTAACACGTTATTTCAATCGTCCAACTGAGACCGTTAAGCCCGATGATGGCACAATCATTACTTTTTAGCAAAGACTTTTCGAAAATCATTGGAATGAGTTGTCTTACTTATTTAAAGCCGTCACCTACCGCTATTCGACACTTGCTACTTGCCCGAGGGGAATGGCGAGTGTGTGTTGTTAGTAAAGTACTGAACCACTACTCGTTTCATTAGATAAATAAATGGGTTATGAGAAAGAATATCTTTTAGTACGATATCGTTTACATCAGTTATCAATAAAGTGTTATGAATGTTTACATCAGTTATCAATAAAGTGTTATGAATGTTTACGTCGGTTATCAATAAAGTGTTATGAATGTTTACGTCGGTTATCAACAAAGTGCTATGAATGTTTACGTCGGTTATCAATAAAGTGTTATGAATGTTTACATCAGTTATCAACAAAGTGTTATGAATGTTTACGTCGGTTATCAATAAAGTGTTATGAATGTTAAAGTCTTTTTTGTAAAGTTTCACTCTGCTTGGAACTTGCTTAATAAACTATTCCCAAAATATAAGTCTTAAAGTGTTTATTTTCCACTAATTTCGTTGAAACAAGACGATTTCGAAACTCAAATAAAAATATTCTTCAAGGAATTTAATTCCCTTCTAATTACTCACTTTTCAAAATGATAAGACCAATAGTGACTACTACTTAACCGTCAATTCACTATCATTCATCAGTTGATTTGTCGCGTGAATTCAAAACATTACTTAATGGTTTTACCGTCTTCTATAACATTAGCGCATAACACTCTTCAACTATTTTACGTTTTCTTACAGAAGTTTGCCCAATCTGAATACAATACGTTAATTAATAGTTCTACCATTTACTGTAGCATTAGCGAACAACACTCTTCAAACACCTTACGTTTTCTTACAGAAGTTTGCCCAATCTGAATACAATACGTTAATTAATAGTTCTACCATTTACTGTAGCATTAGCGAACAACACTCTTCAAACACCTTACGTTTTCTTACAGAAGTCTGCCCAATCTGAATACAATACGTTAATTAATAGTTCTACCATTTACTGTAGCATTAGCGAACAACACTCTTCAACTACTTTACGTTTTCTTACAGAAGTTTGTATGATTTGAATACAGTACATTACTTAATTACTTTATTCAGTAGCATTAGCGCACAACACTCTTCAAACACCTTACGTTTTCTTACAGAAGTTTTGTACAGTCTGGATACAGTACATTAATTAATAGTTTTACCATTTACTGTAGCATTAGCGCACAACACTCTTCAAACAATTTACGTTTTCTTACAGAAGTTTTGTATAATTTGAATACAGTACATTACTTAATTACTCTCTTCAGTAGCATTAGCGCACAACACTCTTCAACTTCTGTACGTAACATTACCGTATAACAACTTTTCAACCTCTTTACATTTTCGTATAGAAGTTTCGAACAATCTTAGTACAGTACTTTACATAATAGTTTTGCCATCTTCTGTAGCATTAGCGCACAACAGTTTTTAACCGTTTGATGTAACATAAGCGCACAAGACTCTTCAACATCTTTACGTTTCCTTACATAAGTTCTATACAATCTATATCAGTTACTGTTTGATTCTTTTTTTACCATAGAGTAAGATAACTTGTACGTATACAGTTATATCATACATATTCGGTTTGATCGTCTCGGTTTCTTCGCATGTAAATGCTACAAAGACGTCATAATAACTTTTGATCTAAATACTATGTAAAAAGTACGAAAATGACAAGGTTTTATCGTTGTTTTTCTTATGAAGACATTTCCACGTCACCACTAACATAAGACACATTCAATTAGCGTACGTTAATCATCAGTGCAAAAATGTGATGTTTGTGTAAATATAAGTGAGAACAAATCAATATTTTATTGGAATAGGAGATCGCCAGGAAGTATTAGGTGGACTAGTCGAGAGAGACGACTTAATTCAAAGACCGCACGTATAATGTAGAAAACTGATTAGTGGAAAGGCAAAGAAACTTCAAATGATATCTAAAAATAAAAATAAGAAGCTAAAGATTTCACTAACCCTTCTCTCTCTCTCTAGTCTGGTTGAGAGAGAGAGTGAAAAAAAAGTGATGTCAGTAACAAATAAAGGCGCCATCGGACATACTCGTCTATTCAGACTTGAGGACATCAATCCTACTATTTATTGGTAATCTGTAGCCAAGAGTTGACGGTAGGTGGTGCTGGCAGGCTGCCCTCCATCTAGTCTATCACTTCCATATTAGGGTCGGCTAGCGCAAGAAGCCCTCGAGTAGGTTTGCGCGAAATTCTATAACAATAAACACAGCAAATAAAGTGAGCAGATATTCCTATTCCAGAATCTCAAACTAATTTTGGTTGTACTGCCAATTGTAACGACCTGATCAAAGATCTGAAACACGATTAGATTGTTTCTCGGTCTGATCTTTTATTTACAAAATCCTCAGAAACAAATGTGGCGTAAAAACCACAACACAGGCTGAACAAAAAGATCCTCTCCTTGTTCTGAATCTGAATAATCCTAGAGGAAGTTATATGTAACAATATATAATCAACATTTAGCTTATATAGAGAGAGTAGTTCGATAGTGTTCGGTAAATACAAAATCAACTTGACAAATTATTTCACGAGCAGCCATTAAATCTTTATATATATATCTCAAGTACTGGTATAGAACCAAAACACATGTTTGAAATAATCGGTCAGAACACAACATCAAGGGGAAAAAAATCATGACAACTTGGAAACGCATGTTGAAGTAAACGTAGAACAACAAATACGTCTAATTTCGGCAGTCATTTTTCATGCATTCCTTAAGTAATTGAAATTGTCGTAATTTAAAGAAGCCATGTTGTGCACCATGTATTTTGTATATAAGGGTATGTATGTATATGTTGTGTACAATATTGTAATACTTTTTAATTCTTTACATTAAAATCCAATCAAATTTGCATTCTTACCTAAATTTCTTTACAAATGAATATAATAATCTTTATCTATGCCAACTCTCTATCAACAGTTAACCATTATCTATGTCACCGGTAGTCATCACATTTACATTGTAACTTCTCTCTCTATCAACAGTAACCATTATCTATGTCACCGGTAGTCATCACATTTACATTGTAGCTTCTCGCTCTATCAACAGTATAACCATTATCTATGTCATCGGTAGTCATCACATTTACATTGTAACTTCTCTCTCTATCAACAGTTAACCATTATCTATGTCATCGGTAGTCATCACATTTACATTGTAACTTCTCTCTCTCTATCAACAGTTAACCATTATCTATGTCATCGGTAATCATCACATTTACATTGTAGCTTCTCTCTCTATCAACAGAATACCATTATCTATGTCACCGGTAGTCATCACATTTACATTGTAACTTCTCTCTCTATCAACAGAATAACCATTATCTATGTCACCGGTACTCATCACATTTACATTGTAACTTCTCTCTCTCTATCAACAGTATAACCATTATCTATGTCACCGGTAGTCATCACATTTACATTGTAGCTTCTCGCTCTATCAACAGTATAACCATTATCTATGTCACCGGTAATCATCACATTTACATTATAACTTCTCTCTCTATCAACAGAATAACCATTATCTATGTCACCGGTAGTCATCACATTTACATTGTAGCTTCTCTCTCTATCAACAGTATAACCATTATCTGTCACCGGTAGTCATCACATTTACATTGTAGCTTCTGTCTCTATCAACAGTTAACCTTTATCAATGTTGCCCGTAATCATGACATGTACATTGTACATTGATAGGGAAAAGTAATTGATGATTATATATATAAAACGTAATCATGAAAATTGCACTGTATCCTTTCTTTATCACCAGAATAATTATTATCTATTACACGGAAAGTAATGACACTAACACTGTATCTTCTTTTGAGACAAAAAGTTAATAATTATCTACGTTGAGATATGTTTACCCTACTTTCAACAAATACCAGTATAATAAGATATATTGTAATACTTCTTTGAGCCGTTGGTATCTCCAATCAATCACACCCAGCATCCCATTCTGTGTCTCCAATAATTCACACCGAAGATCCCATTTTGTATCTCCAATAAGTCATGCCCAAAACTCTGTTTTGTGTCTTCAATAAGTCACCTACAATATTCCGTTGTGTGTCCTCAATAACTCACACCCAGGATCACATTCTGTGTCTCCAGTAAGTCATGCCAATATTTCATTCTGTTGCTCCAATAAGTCATGCCCAAGACTCTGTTCTGTGTCTCCAGTAAGTCACTTACAGTATTACGTTGTGTGTTTTCAGTAACTCACACCCAGGATCACATTCTGTGTCTCCAGTAACTCATACCAAAGACTGTTCTGTGCCTCCAGCAAGTCACCTACAGTATTACGTTGTGTGTTTTCAGTAACTCACACCCAGGATCACATTCTGTGTCTCCAGTAACTCATGCCAAAGACTGTTCTGTGTCTCCAGTAAGTCACCTACAGTATTACGTTGTGTGTTTTCAGTAACTCACACCCAGGATCACATTCTGTTGCTCCAATAAGTCATGCCCAAGACTCTGTTCTATGTCTCCAATAATTCATGCCAGGACTCCGTTCAGTGTCTTCAATAAATCATGCCAAGAACCTAGAGCCTGAATATTAAAAAAAAAGAGAATATATTTGTTGGTTGATAGAAGGGGAAGAATAAACAACATTTAATGTTTATTGAACAAGACCACTATAATTAAATAAAATACAAAAAAATTATAACCACTTGTTGTGAAGACTAAATCTCTACTGTTTTTTTCTAAATATGGTTATTATATTCTTTCTGTCCTACTGACAATTTATATGACATATTTTCCTTCTCCTGAACGGATCTCCGATTAAAGCGGTTTAACCTAAATTAAAATCTGGGCACTTTGCTCTGTTTATTCGTTCTTCTACCATTCAAATTAAATAGTTGATACCAAACACTATCTTAACTTTATATCCAGATCTGGTGGTTAATTCGATAAGAAAGTTAAAACGTGATTAAAAATAACTCAGTTAAAACACTGAACTAAAAAAGTTAAAAATATTAAAAGTTAAAAGGAAAAAAAATAGAGAGACAGAAACTCATTGGCAAAAAGAAAAAGAGTGGAAGAAATATATTTGAATAACACTATAATACACCCTATTGATAAACGTTGACTTAAATTAGATTTAAAGTCAGGAAAAACACTGACGAATGCAAACAGTGTCTGACTTGACAGTTCGACGAGCGTTACAAGAAATTACTTGTCTGTCCACGAACAGAGTAGACAGCTGAACATCTGTCATTCTTCACTGTATCTTCTAATTGGTTCCAATGTATATTACTGTCTTCTGACTGATTTCAAGAGGTGCATAGTTCTAAAAAAGAAAAACAACTCTTTTTCTCTGAAGTATCGTGAACTAACGTTAATTAGAAAACACGGAAAACGCTCACTGGATGTGCACGGCTTTAATATTCCTAACGAGTAACTTAAG